CTACAAAAGTGGTTCGCATATTATATAAATTTTAAAAATATGTACACACACCATAAAATACAAATAGAAAAATAATTTCAACCCAATAGTGGTAGACGTTTCCTGTTCCTCTTTCCAGATTTTTTTCTGCCTATTTTTACTCCCATCTAAAGAGGTTGACCAATATGAATCCCATCTACAGACCTCCTTGCCTGTGGCTCCTGGGAAACACTGGCAGAGGAGACTGAAGTCTGAATGCTCCCCTGGCTCTTTCCCTTTTAGGTCACCTGGGTTGGCTGTGGCCTTCCACCAAATGCCACATCTCTTGACAGGTGTCCTCTCAGCATAACTCTCCAGGTTCCTGTAATCATCTATACCTCTTGCCCTTCCAGATCTTGAACTGGTCACTAGCCCTGGGGAACACTATTACTCCTGAAATCTTTAGTTTTTCCTAAATTCTTCCCATGACCTGGTAAATTACTCCTTTACTGAATTCCCTTCAATTATCAAGACTGAACAAGCCATCTGTTTCTTTCAGATAACCTGAATAACACATCACTTTCCACAAGTTATTTGTTGTTAAAACTTCAATATTTATTCTTTAAAACATTTAATATTTTTGAAAAAAATACACTTTTCTTTTTACAAAAGAGTATATTTATCATACTATAAACAAATAGATGATATATAGAGTAATAGACTATTTTATCATCCATAAATTATAGACATCAGACAGAACTTAATGAATTCAAGTCTAAATTTCTTAAGCTGACTTTTATAGAATTCCCCAATGTGATGTAACAGTCTTCCAGCATTTTGACCCTCTATTTCCCACAATTACCCAATGACCCTGCAAAACTGAGTTAGTTACTCACTGTTCCTTAAATATGCTCCCCACTTTTCTGCTCCATGGCTTTTCCTTTTGTAAGATACATATGAAGAACGTTACTTTCCACCTGTAAGTTACATATGAAGAACATTCCCAACTGGCTTCAATCTTACCCCTGTGAAACTGTTTTTACTAAATCACCTAAGTCACCAAATTTGAAAAACATCAAATTACCCATAATCTCTTTTTGAATCACTTTTCTTTTGTTATTCTGTAATCTCACATTCCTCATTGGGGCTTCTCCCTGTCTCTCTTATCTACTTAAATTCATCATTGATGAAGATGTACAACCTTTACCAGAACTTAAAATGTTGGACTATCCTTGGTTTCTTCCTCATATTCTTATATGTACAGCCAATTATTAGTCACATTTAGACATTACTTTGAACATTCTATGCTGCTATAAAAGAATCTCACAGACTAGGTAACTTATAAAGAAAAAGGTTTAATTTCTCAGAACTCTGGAGGCTGAAAGTCCAAGATTACAGCACCAACATTTGGTGTCTGGTGAGAATGACATCCTCTAAGGGGGAAAAACACTGTATTTTCACATGATAGGAGGCAGAAGGGCAGAAGAAAGTGAACTTCCTCGACCAGGTGCTTTTATGAAGTTATCCAATCACAATGCAGGATCTCTCCTGGCCCAATAGCCTCTGAAAGGACCCCTCTCTAAATATCCCCACGTTGGCAAAACCTGAATTGTGACAATACTTTTAAACCATAGTACCACTTGAATAATGTTGACTCCCGGATTTATATATCCAACATTGAGCTCTCTGTGAGCTAACCGATTTTTGCATAGGCAGTGAGGGTTTAAAGAATATGATAATTTTTGAAGAGTGTACAAGGGATTGAACTGAAGGGCCCTGGGCCACTGAGCCACATCCTCAGCCCTATTTTCTATTTTATTTAAAGACAGGGCCTCACTGAGTTGCTTAGCACCTTGTTTTTGCTGAGGCTGGCTTTGAACTTGTGATTCTCCTGTCTCAGTCTCCTGAGCCATTGGGATTACAGGTGTGTGCCACTACTCTCAGCTAGAATATGGTATTTTTAAAGAGCTGATGGAAAGCTTTACAATACCATCACCTGTAATAAAATGAAAAATAGAAAGTGTATCTCATTGTAAACTGAAACTACATTTAAGAGCCTGCAGACTATTTGATCTTTGCTGACTGAAATATCATGATTGTGGAGAGATGGAATGTTGCACATCAAGACCCAAATTTAACTTAGGATATTTTTAGTCCCTTTTTTTAGACATTCATTATCAACCTCTGGGAATTATCTAGCATTCTCATGACTGCTAGATAAAACTTCCAGAATATATAGTAAGCTTCGATGACCTTAGGTGTCTACCAACTCTACAGCTAAGAATGTGATTACATCTGAATCTTGTAAAAGATTTTCTTACCTTGTTAAAGATAACATCTGAATCAAAGTCATTATGCTACATGATATATGCATATCCATGTTTACAGCAGCACAATTCACAATAAAAAAACTATGAAACCAGCCTAGATGTCTATTAATGGATGAATGGATAAAGGAAATGTGGTATATATACACAATGGAGTTTTATCCATCCTTAAAGAAAAATGAAATTATGTCATTTGTAGGAAAATGAATGGAACTTGAGACCATTATGGTAAGCAAAACAAGTCAAACTCAGAGTGCCAAGGGTCCTATGTTTTCTTTCATATGTGTAAGATAGAGGGTAAAAAGGGAAAGAAGGAGGAACAGATCTCATGAAAATAAAAGGGAGATTAGTAGAGAAAGGGAACAGGGATGAGAGGTAAGGAGGGAGGGGAAGTGCTGGGGAGTGATATTGGCCAAATTATATTGTTCTATAGTGTTCATGTATGAATATGTAACAACAAATCTCATCAACATGAACACCTAAAATGCACCAATTTAAAAAGTATTTATAGAGTGGTACCCTGCAGATTGATGGTATTTATGCATGGAAGTGATGTGTACTTTTAAAAAATAAATCTAGAAAAAAAAGATAACATGTAAATCCTATAGAAGAGATTTCCCTGTCTCTTTGTAGCCTGCCAACTTAATGACCCCCACCTACTTTCTTTTGTGGCTTTAAAAGCTCATGTATCTTCTTCCACAGAAGAACCATGTTGTTCCAGGTAACTTGTGTTCCTGGGCCATGGTCGGAAAGATTTGGCTCAGAATAAAACACTTTATTATTTTCTCAAAGCAGAGTTGTTATTTTACATCAACATAACATATTCCTTGGATTTGGCTTGGAAGTTTTCCAGAAAGATTGTGTGAATTGTACGGTATGTAAATGAATTTCATGAGAGTTGTCAAATATAACTTGGTGAGTCCTGTGTACCAAATTATACTCTATTGAGTTAGACAAAATTCACACTTCTAAATTTTCCAGATAATTCTTTCTCTGAAGGCTTATGGGACTGCTATGACAAAATTCCTGTAAAATTTATAAAAAGCTTTATTTTTTAAAGAAGGGTCTTCAGAACATGACTTAGAAGGACTTAGTCCAACTGGAAGGTTTAATCAGGCAATAGATATTTGGAGGTCTTAACAGAAGATCTTACAGTCTCAATCCGGATTTGATCTTTGATCTGAAGCCATTTCCAACTTTGAGAATCTTTTTATGGAAGTTACTAGAAATGAGAAATATTCTTATTTTCAAAGCCAGCAATATCTAACTGCCTTATTTTTTCTAATTTTTTTTTCTCAAAAATAAAATCTTTTTTTAGTCAAGAGCTTTCTTCTTGTATTTTATCATAGGCAGCTATGTAGTACTTGAAGCACTTTCTATATTCTATTTGCAATCCTCCTGCCTCAGCTTCCCAAACTTCTGGAATTATAGGCGTGTGCCATTGCTCCCAGCTTCAAACTTGTTTTAGTATCTCCCAAACTCATCCCTCTCACCTCCTTACACTGAGGAAGGACAATCAGATTCTCAGATTTGCTTTAAGATACCATAAACAGTTGTGTCAGTATTTTCTTTGAAGTTTCTAAATTGCAGCAAATCTCTTCTCATTCTTTCTAGTCTCATGATGATGATAATGTAAATAAAAGTAGATCTTTTTTTAGAAAAACAATTATGTAGAGTTATCTGTGACAAAATTTCTCAATTTTTGCCAGTTCTAATTTCTTTATAAATCTAGTCCTATGGAATGATGCTTGTTGTAAAAATACTAATTGTAATGTTTAGATTTTAGAATGCCTATATAAAGCTCTATAAATAATGAAGGACACATTATGTCAGTAGTCTATTTTTTTAATGTGTATTTAAATATGGTTAGAATTCCAGCCAAATCAAGTGATGATGGTGCCAAGACCTGATTTCCCAAAAGATAAGAATCAATTCAGTTTTCATGGCATTACAGTTGTGCCAGTGTCTGGACAAAATAGACCATCTTGCATAAAGTTTGTCCAAAAAGTTTATGCAGTATACCAACTTAGGTTTGATAACCTTAAACAAATCCCCTACATCCATTAACAGTGCTGACATCAGTAGACTGATTGTGGTGGAATAGTGTAGATCAGGTGGATCGAGCATTAGAAAAAGAGAAATTGAATCCATCTAAATCTGAATAAATTATTGAACTCCCTAAGACTTTCTTTTCTCATTTGTAAGCAAAATTTATAATGTCAGCATCAGATTTATTGGAAAAATTAAATGTAGAAGCATCAGGGTTTTGGAGTCTTAATTTGAATGTTGACTTCACATCTATTTACCTGTATGACTATTGGTACTCTACTGACTATCTCTTTGTCCAGATAGTTTATTTGTAAAATAAAAATGATGGCACCTCTTAATTGGGTTGTTGTGCAAAATAAACGATTTCACAGCTATAATACGTTTAGAATGGGGCCTGACACATCGTACAAATTATTGTTTGTTAAATAAATTAAATAAAGGAAGAGGGCTTGGCATTTGCAGGAGTTCAATAATAGCACTAACTATTACTATCATTTTTACTGATTTTGAGGTATCTCCCAACTGATATGGGTGTATAAAGGTGAGAGTTAGAACAAATAAATATTATTTAATTTAAACAATCAGTTAAGAAGCATGTGGTAGGTACTAAGTGTGATATGAGTACATGAACACTAGATAGGTTGTTTTAAATTCAAAGAATAGATCCTAAGAATATATTCTGACAGTTGTCTTCCGCAGGGCCTCCTTCACATCTCTGTTCCTCAGGCTGTAGATGAGGGGGTTCAACATGGGAATCACCACTGTGTAGAACACAGACACCACTCGATTCTGGCTGGTGGAATAGCTGGACTTGGGCATCACATAGATGAAAGTGATGGTCCCATAGTAGAGAGTGACTGCAGTGAGGTGGGAGGTGCAGGTGGAGAAGGCCTTGTGGCGCCCTTCAGAGGAGCGCATCTTCAGGACTGTGGTGAGGATGTAGATGTAAGAGAGAACAATGACAAACACTGTGACCACAATGATGGAGCCAGAGGAGATGGAAGGGATAATTTCAATTAAGGAGACATCTGAGCAGGCAAGTTTCAACAAAGGGGAGAAGTCACAGAAAAAGTGATCGATTTGATTTGGTCCACAGAAAGACAGACTCAATAAACAACTAGTAAATGTCCAAGCATTCACACAGCCACCCAGGTAGGAAGCCCCCACTAAGAGAAGGCAGACTCTGGGGGACATGTGGGTGGAGTACAGCAGAGGGGAGCAGATGGCCACATAGCGATCATAGGCCATGGCAGCCAGCAGGAAGCACTCGGTGGTCCCACATGTCACCACAAAACATAGCTGGGCTTCACAGCCAGCCACAGGGAAGACAGTTCCATGTCCTAAGAATCCTATAAGCATTATAGGTGTGACTGCTGTGGAACACCCAATGTCCACAAAAGCCAGGTGGCTGAGGAACAGGTACATGGGGGTGTGAAGCTGAGAACAGCTTCTTATTAGAGCTATGATGCTGGTGTTGCCCACTAAAGTGACAACATATATTCCTAGAAATATCACAAAGAAGATGGCACAAAGTGTAGGATCCTCTGTCAACCCCAAGATGATGAACTCTGTCACAGTGGTGTGGTTTCCAACCTCCATCTCTTGTGTGACTTGTTCCTGTTAAGGGAAATGAGAATTTTTTTTAAATGTTTTTATTCCACACATTCCTGTTTCTTCAATTATTTCAAAGACTCATTCATAGTAGCTTCTCTGTCTGCCCAACCTATAAATATCAGTGCTCCAATGGATTGTGTTGTTGTTATTGTTGTTGTTTTCTCTTTGCAAAAAAGAAGCATGAGCTTCAGTCTCTACAGTCTGAGAAATTGATTTATTCATGTAATGTTTATATAAAAGTGTCTCTCAAACCTTGACTCTTAGGCAGGTCTCTCTCCCAAGGTCCAGATTCATAAGTTTTAATGAGCTATTGGGAATGGGACTTCCAATACACTGAGAATGATGAGACTCCCAATAACTCATTAACACTATGTATTTTTAGAACCACAGACCCTCTGCCTAATAGAAGAAAAAGTAGGCCCAAATCTTCATCATCTTGGCTTAGGACCTGACTTCCTTAACAAGACTCCTATAGTGCAAGAAATAAAATTAAAAAAAATCAATAAATGGGGTGGATTCAAACAAAAAGCTTCTTCTCAACAAAGAAAACAATCAATAATTCAAAGAAAGAGCCTACAAAATGGGAGAAAATCTTCACCACACACACATCAGATAGAGTACTAATCTCTAGGATATATAAAGAACTCAAAAAACTTAACACCATAAAAACAAATAAACCAATCAATAAATAGTCTCCTGAGCAGACACTTCACAGAAGAAGGTATATGATTGAGGAACAAATATATGAAAAAGCATTCAACATCTCTAGCAATTAGAGAAATGCAAATCAAAACTACTCTAATATCTCATCTCCTTCAGAATGGCAATTATCAAGAACATAACAACAAATGTTGGTGAGGATGTTGGGGAAAAGGTACACTATGCAGTGCTGGTGGGATGGCAAATTGGTGCAACAACTCTGGAAAGCATTATGGAATTCCTTAGAAAACTTGGAATGGAACCACCATTTGACCCACTCCTTGGTCTATATCTGAAGGACTTAAAATCAGCATACTACAGTGACACAACCACATGAATGTTTATAGGCAGTCAATTCACAATAGCTAAACTGTGGAGCTAACCTAGATGTCCTTCAATCGATGAATGGATAAAGAAACTGTGGTATATATACACAATGGAATATTACTCAGCCTTAAAGATGAATGAAATTATGGCATTTGCAGGTAAATGGATGGAGTTATAGAAAATCATATATTATTTCTCTTTTGCTAAGAGAAATAAGCCAATTCCCCCCCCCCAAACAAAAGCCAACTGTTTTCTCTAATATGTGGATTCTGATCCATAAGGCAGAGGTGAGGAGATGGAGGAACATTGGATTGTGCAGAAGGGAGGGGAATAGAGGTGGGAAAGATGGTAGAATAATATAGACATTATTATCCTATACCTGTATGATTGCACAAATGGTGTGACTTTACATCAAGTATGACCAGAAATCTGTAAAGTGTGCTCCATTTCTGTACAATGAGTCAAAATGCTTTTTGCTGTCATGTATAAGTAACTAATGGGAACAATTTTTTTAAAAACATGCATTTTATATTTGGAGAAGGATACCACTATCCACCAAACTTTCATGTCTGCAACATGGGAGTCTTCCTAGGTCTCTTCCTCTTGTTGTATCACATCTATAAAACCCTATTAATGCAGTTTACAATTTACTTCCCATTTTATCTTTTCATCTCCTCTTTTTTATTCCCACTTACCCCAAGGATGGATAAATTTTACTCTTTATTTTCTTATTTTCCTCTTTCCTTTCACTATTTTCTTCTTGCAACCCACAATAATGTGTCATAGTGATCTCTAGCAAGTAAAAAGCAGATAATGCCAAAGTAACTCATTTAATTCTTCTAATGCTTTCACATTAGCACAGCATATGATCTCTTTTCTGATATATTTACTTTAATTTCAATGTAAGAATTTATTACATCATAATTCTTCACAAGTGGGCTGGGGTTATGGCTCAGCGGTAGAGGGCTCGCCTAGCACTTGCAAGTCCCTTGGTTTGATTCTCAGCACCACATAAAAATAAATAAATAAAATAAACATACTGTATCTAACTACAACTAAAAAATAAATATTTTAAAAAATAATTCTTCACAAGCATAATTTTTGAGATCTGCATGATAACACACTGAGTGAATAGACTTTAATGTAATTAAGCAACTTTCCTTTGGGCGTTTGGCTGTTCAAACTCCTTTACTGTAAGAGCAAGGGATCCTACAAATTGAATCAAACATCAGGAGACAACATGAAAAAATATGATAAATTTAAATTGTGTTCCCATTCCTAGTTATTTTTCGAAAGGCAATAGTTCAAAGGAAGTGTGCTCTGTGCTCCACGATAGTTTATCCCTATACCTTGCAACAATGAAAATGCTAAACCATATTGCTCCCTATTGCTCACTGATTTGTTGAGTTCTTGGCTGCACTTTGATTAGAGAGTCTATTGCCTTCTCCATGTTCTGCCATTTTCACGGGACAAAGGCCAAATCCTGTGGTTTGAAGGAGTCCTTAGAAAGCAGAATTAATGATAAATAAATAATTATGATTAATTAGGAAAGACACAAAAACTTATAGCAGCCATACTGAAGATTCAATGAAAGTTACAAAAGTAAGTTATATTTATCAATAGGAAAAAAAATCAAAGAATGCAAGTAATTCTGAGGGGTTTCTGTCAAATATTACAAAATGAAAATCATTTTAATTAGGGATTCTTCTGTTTCTGAAAATTTCATTTATGTACATCTTTTTTATTTCCAGTAAGTTTAGCTAAACAACAATCTCTTCAGGTAAGGTCTACAATATATGAATACTTTTTGCATATATTTAATTTTTTAAAAATTGTATTGGTTCATTATAATTATGCATAATAGTTGGTTTTGTTGTTACATACCCATAGATGTACATACATTGCTTGGTCAATTTATTCCCAAGGACCTCCCCTTTCCCTCTACATTTATTGTCTTGCATAAATGTCTCCTTAAACTTTTAAACATTTAGAAGATACATAAAAAATAAAAAATTATTCAGCAGCTAAAGAAAGTCTCTCCTATACATCTTTAACTTTAATAATACCTCACAATGCATTTTAGTTTATTTAATTTGGGAATATATACAATAGTATATGTATATATCCATAATAATATTGTGTATTCCATTTTGTAATTTATATTTTACTTAGTATTGTCAATAAAATATTTCCCATGTTCATGAGTAATCCTCTTAAGTGAAATCCTATATTGAATGTGTGTCAGATGTGTTATCATTATGCTCAAAGGTTTTCACAATACATCTTCAATTATTTTTCTAGGTATATCTTCCTAGGGCAGGGGATGTAACTCAGTGGTAAGGAACTTGCCTAGCATGTGTGAAGCCCTGGATTTGATTCCCAGCAACACACACACAAACACACACACACACAATATCTCCCATTACGTTTGCTTTCTTGCAACCTTTGTTTTCAAGTATCATGTTAATATGATGCTGTGATAGGTTACTAGTTATAATATTCATAGAAACACAGTTTTCTGCCAATAACATATGATAGTCCTTAAACTTTAAAACATTTACAAGATACATTAAATATCAACTTCAAATGTCTTCTTCTTAAAATTTTTTAAATTTCTGACTTAAGAATAAGTAAGCATTTAATTTCCCCAATGGTGGAACTGAGTTCTTTGGTGAATGGTGAAGTATAATGAACCAACAATCGAGAATGTGTTCTTTCTCTTATTTGATTGATCTTCAGTAAGTGAGTTTAAATTACTCATACCAGGTAGTTTACTGCCTTTGATGTTAGCTCTGTCATTAAAACACTGTTTTTATCTCATCAGTTGTCTCACCATGAGTTAATGGTACAAATAGTCTATTTTCTGTATCAAAACATTGAAATACTTGAACACAGCTATCATGCCTTCCCTGTTCTAAAATTAAGCATCCCCAGTTCCTTTGTGCTTTGCTTGTGCTATGCTTCTTAGTCCCTTGAAATCCTCTTTGTCAGACTCTAAACACACTCTGGTCTGAGGAAGGAGGCTTAGAACCCAGCAGCATTCCTGCCCTTTACCTTCTGACTCAAGCACAGCTCAGGGGGTAACCCTCTCACATTGTGACAGCTTATGAGTCAGTCTATGCTGACCACAGAGTCATGAAGACTGGAGTCAGACAACTCAGATCCTAGGCCTCCTACTGGCCAGCTGTATTGACTTGCACATGGCACAATATCTTCCACACTCAGGGTTTCCACACTCGGGGAATAATTGTTCCTATAGTATGGCTTTGCTCTGAGATTAAAAGAAATAATATCTGTAAACTACCCAGTAGTCATGCATCAGGGTTAATTAACTTCTTTTAATGAAATAAAAATGAAATACTAGTAGATTTCCAATTGTGCAACTTTTTTGATGAGAACTATGATTTTTTTCCCTACACCATCAAGAGGTTTTCACCACAAATCCAAAATAAGACAGGAAGTACAGTAAATAACGTCTTCTTACTTCTGGACTATGCTGTCCATATGCATAATGTGTCCAGTGGGTTTTGCCGTTTCCTTCCTCTCCACTGGCCACCTAAGTTCTAGAGCCTTCCACGATTGTTCACACTGGTTCATCTGGGTCAGAGACTCTTCACAAAATATCTATTCTGTCAAAGCATTGGTCACTTGGGAAGATGAACAGAGAGCATAGGACTATGACCTTTATATATGCTAAGTGTCAGGCTTTTTCTTCTAATTTACTTTTCCTATTCCTCAATGCTCAAGCTCAGCAATGGTTTTGGCTTCCATGGACCATGCAAACTGACCTGCAGTCTCCAGGAAGTGGTCTATCAGTACCCAGAATAACTGTTGCACAATACCTGTGTTGCTGAGGTCTCCACAGGGGTCAAGAACTAAAATCGATGAAAATAGGTCTTTTGTTTTCAATTTCTTGTTGACCAAATGAAAATTCATTTTAACAAAATCTATGAATTTTTCAC